TAAAGTGTCCAGTAGTAAATACCAGACACCTAACCATAACCTGGCAAACAGAAGTCACCTACCAGATGTTTAACACTGAAGAATGTAGGTCAGGTACTGGGACAAATCAAGAAGCCACAGAGATCAAAAGACAATTGCACATGACACAATCCACTTCCTGAACTAAGCCTTAGAACCTGTTTATGATTCCATAAATATATGCTAAATTATAACACTGACTGTAAGGTTTCAATGATGCAGAACTTTATAACTATGGCCAAACAATAGCATTAACTAATGCATCTATTTACCTTAAAAAGAATTAATTTTCTTATATATTACATGAAGGTCTTGTTAGTGTTATGGACATTTCCTGTTTGTTTTCTCATACTAGTCTGAGGAAAATTTACTAAATGCTTGGGTGAAAAAGCATGAAAACATACTTCAATGCCGGCACTTATTTTTTATATAAGATTTATTTAGTTTTTATGTATACATGTGTTAGTCTAGTGAGTTTATATGTACTGTGTGTGAACATACAGAGGCCAGGAAGAATGCACTGAATCCCCTGGAACCGGAGTTAAAGGCAGTTGTGAGCTACCATGTGGGTGCTGAAAACCTGGCTCCTCTGCAAGAACTTACGCTCATAACCACTGAGCCATGTCTCTAGCCCCCTGGCATTTAATTTTTAATCCCACAAACATTATCAGATGACTATAGGAGTTGTGAAAGGCACTGGGAACAAGAGCGATCTCTCCTTCAGTGAGTTCAGTCTAAGAGAAGAGAAAGGCTGGCAAACCTACTGCAAATGAGAACAGGGCATACAGGGTGTACAGTATTATCATGAAGGGAGCAACACAGGGTAATGAGGGAAAGCTTCCCAGCACCCACATGGCGGCTACAAACCATCCTTAATTCTAGTTCCAGGGGAATCCGAAGCACTCTTCTGACCTCTGAGGCATTGCACGACATGAGTGCACTCATGTACATACAGGCAATACACTCATACACATAAAGTAAAAATAATAAATAAAATAAACCGGGCACGGTGGCACATACCTTTAACCCAGCACTCCGGAGGCAGAGGCAGGCAGATCTCTGTGAGTTCAAGGCCACCCTGGTCTACATAGTGAGTTCCAGGACGGCTGGGGCTACTGGGAGACCATGCTTCATAAAGGCTAATAATAATAATAATAATAATAATAATAATAAAAATAAACAAAATATTTTTTTTTAATCAATCCAGAGACTGAAGCAATGGTTCAGAAGTTAAGAGCACTTGCTGCTCTTCCAGAGAACCCAAGTTTGGTTCCCAGCACCCATTTTGGAAAGCTCACAATTGCCTGTAACTCCAGCTCCAGGGGAATTAGACACCTCCATGGACACCTGCATTAAAGTGGCATACACACATACAGAGACATGCACATACACATAAATAAAAGTAATAAAAATAAAAGCTTTTAAAATGTAGTACAGGTTTAAAAAGATACAGAGAGACAGAGAGAGAGGCTGACACCTATAATCCCATATACCTACAATCCCATATACCTATAATCCCAACGCTTGAGAAGCTGAGGCAGGAGGACTGCCAGGGACTTGAGGCCATCCTGCACTACACAGTGAGTCCCAAGCCAGCCAACACTAAAGAACCAAGACCCTGCCTCAAAAAGAAAAAAGAAAACAAAAAAAGCAATCCACCCAAGTATGATGGCTAAGGCAGAAGATCTTGAATTCAAGTCCAGCCTAGGTTATACAGAATAAGACAAGGAAAACAAAAACATAGGGAGCTGGAGAGACAACTCAAGAGTTAAGAGCACTTATTGCTCTTGCAGAGGAGCCAAGTTTGGTTCAGTTCAGTTCAGAGCTCACATGGCAGCTCACAACCATCTGTAACTCCAGTTCCAGGGGATCCAACACCTTTTTCTGACTTCCACAGCCACCAGGCATGCACATAATATACATATATACATGCAGGCAAAACATACATAAAATTAATCAAGCCAGGCGTGGTGGCTCATGCCTTTAATCCCAGCACTCTGTGTATCTCTGTGAGTTCAAGGCCAGCCTGGTCTACATAGTGAGTTCCAGGACAGCTGGGGCTACAGGGAAACCCTGTCTCAAAAAAAAAAAAAAAAAAAAAAAAAAATTAATCAAAATAACTTTCAATCTTTTTTAAACTTAATTTTTAAATTTATTTTTATGTTTATGAGTGTTTTACCTGCATGTATGTAAGTGCACTCATGTCATGTAATGCCCACAGAGACCAGAAGATGGAATTGGATTTCCATGGAACTGGAATTTCAAACAGTTGTTAGCCACCATGTAGGGACCCCTGCAAGAGCAGCCAGTGCTCCTAACCACTGAGTCATCTCGAGCCCCATAAATCAAATTGATTTTCAAATAAATAAAATTTAAAAATAAAAATCTACCAACCTAGGTTCAGTTCAGAGAAAAGGCAATAAGAAAGAATGTGGAGATAACAGTTCAGCAGAAATCCTCCTTAGAAATGAGTGTGGCAGGATGGAAGCAATAGGCAAAATCATGAGAACATTCATAAAGTACAACTGTCAAGATTTAGAGACTGGCAGCCAGGTGCATGCCTTTGATCCCAGCAATCAGGAGGCAGAGGCTGGCAGATCTCTTCAAGGTCCAGCCTGGTCTCTTAATGAGTTCCAAGCCAGCTGGGGCTATAGGGAGACCCTGGCTCAAAAAAGAAAAAGAAACGAAAGGCTTCACTAATGTTTAAAAGACCATACCAACAAAAAAGAAAGAAAGAAAGAAAGAAAGAAAGAAAGAAAGAAAGAAAGAAAGAAAGAAAGAAAGAAAGAAAAAAGATTTAGTGACTGGTTAGATCTGGGGACAGGAGAACATCAATTAAATGTCTGTAAATGAACTTCATGAACTTTGGCAGTCAAGAAAATAAACTAATGTGTTTATATAGGAAAATTGCCTGGCATATGTCAATAAGCAATTAGTTTTTCATATTTAAAAACTTAAGTTTTTAATTTAGAAATTATTTGAAACAAAATAAGATGAGAGAGAATCACTGCTACTATTTTCAGGCATTTGTAATATGCTATCTTTGGAGACACAAACTTAGGTAATATAATGATTAAGCTACTGAACTGAAGGCCAGGATTTCTGGCTTACCCTGAGTTAAATCATGATAATTAAATCATTTAACATGTCTAGGCTTTAGCTTCACCACTTATTTGGAAGAAAAATGTAGAGATTAGGATTTAAGAGTCTTCTCACCACAGATGACTCATGTCTATTTACTATGTACTATTGTATTCCAGGTTCAAAGATTAATATATGGCTGATCAATAATTTTGTTTTTGTTTTGTTTCCTTGCTTCCTCCTCTGTGTGGGTAGTTTTTTGTTTATTTTGGTCTTTTTGAGACAGGGTTTCTCTGTAGCCCCAGCTTGCCTGGAACTATGTAGACCAGGCTGGCCTTGAACTCAGGAAGATCTACCTGCCTCTGCCTCCCCAAGTGCTGAGATTAAAGGTGTGTGCCACCACACCCAACTATCTGGATGGCTCTTTACCAAACCAATGCAATGCAAAATTATTTCTCTTTCAGAAATGTTTCTGAGCCAGCACTTGGGAGTCAGAGGCGGATGGATCTCTGTGAGCTCAAGGCCAGCCTGATCTACATAGAGTTCCAGGCCAGCTGGGGCTACTGGGAGACCCTGTCTCAAAAAAAGGGCCCCAAAAAAAAAAAGTCAGGCATATGATGTGCACTTATAACCCAATGTTGGGGAGGTGGAGACAGGCAGATCTCTGGAACTCAATGGCCTGCCAGCCTAAGCTAGTCAGCAATCCCCAGGTCCCAACCAAAGGCCTGTCTCAAAGAGCAAGGAGGACAGCTTCTGAGGAACAATGTCCAAGGCTGACCTCTGGCTTCCACATGTACACTCACATATATGTCTACAAGCGCACATTCACGTGTACAAACACACACACAAACACGCACACACACACGTGCGTGCATACTTTTCTCTATTTCCTAAGTTGTTATGGCACACAAAGTAAAAGACTAAAGATATATGGGGAAAAAAGATTCTGACAGCAGTCTCAGGCACGAGGATCAAAGGTTCAAGTCCAGCCTGGGTTACAAAGTAAGAGAGGTCAGATTGTGCTTGATATCAAGACCCTGTCTCAAAAAAGTTTCTGATGTGCCTAACTCCATACCACCTGAAAGGGTCCACACACTTCACTCACATCCTATTAAATATAGTAGCTATAAATCACTGCTAAAACTTCCCACACACACACACACAAAAAAAAAATCAGACTTTGGCTCAGTAACATCACCCACTTCTGTGGAAGGAAATTTCCTACACTTGTTATACCACCCTCAATGTGTCATTTGTGTAAATTGCTTCAGATACAGCAAAATTATCTAACTGGCCACCTAAGGGGTAGCACTAAATGTGTTCACTACAGCAAATATATAGGTACAAAATGAAAATCCAGTAAGTGCTTTTCTAAAAGCAAATCACCTTAAAACCACACTGATAATCTGTAACAATCCAGGAAACACCGAAAATTCAAATCCATCCCTACTGTGTGGGCACCTGCCCTGTGTTAATTTTTGGACATCTGTGCCCCACTGGAAACAACAGCCCTATCCCCCTGGATTTTCAAAGTCAAGAGGGCTGACACACACGAGTGTATCCTCTGCTATCCATAAAGCTCGGCCAAACCGCAACACCGGAGAGAAGAACGTCCCTTCTCTCTTCGTGCACCGAAGGGGCTGGAAAAGGTGGCATATCACAATGGGGAAGAGAGGGAGTCAGAGAGGGGTGGGAAGGAAAAAGCTGCCTCGCAGCATGAAACCAGGCCTTGGTGTGAGAAGCCAAGAAACCGGCAGGAAAAGCCCGGAGAGGTCAGCGCAGGGAGAAGGCCGGGACAGAGCCTGGAGGGACCGAACCGAGTGCGGCGGGAGCGGACCCGCGGCCGAGACACGGGGACAGAGTCGGGCGCGGCTGGAGGGGGGCCCGGAGCCGACCCTCACCTTGCCTTTGGTCCGGCCGGCCTTGGGCTTGGCCCGGCGGTGCGGCTTCACAGCTTCGGCCATACACCCAGCCTCCGCGTCGTCGCCGTCTGTTTTGGTCAAAATCCTCTGCTTCCCTCAATCCGCCCAGTTCCCGCCCCCTGGCTGTCATATGACGGAATCTCCGCCACTCAGGAGCCGGAGGCAGCAACAGGAGCCTATACGGACCGGGACGAGGGACAAACTAGCCAGAGAGCGTTTGCACTAGTGAAGAAGGCCCCTCCTTCAACCCTGCCAGGCCGGGTCCCTGTCCTTGGGAGCCTTGGCTTCGGCCTCCGCCGACCACCGCACGGTGGCGTGGGTGCGTTCCGTCCTGGCTGTGGCCTGCACTCTCCGCAACTCTGAGTCGTGCTCAACAGCACCCATGGGGTCTAAAGTGTCAGAAAAGGCTTTAGCCATCTGATTTTGATCCCTAGACAACCAATTCCAGTCAGCCTACACCTGCACTGCGTTCACGGAAAAGAATCCCAAAGTCCACCCGGAGTGCACCCCAGGCTGCTGATTTGTGAAGAGGGATGATGATACTCTCCATTGCAGTTGTTATGGGGATTAAATGAGTTAATTGTGAAAGGCACCTGATAGCAGCAGGCGTCTCCATAAATGGTATATATTATCATTATTGTACAAATTCCCAGCCTGGAAAAGAGACATCTGCTCTAAAGAAGACAGACAAAAAAGTACGTAAGACATGCAAGGCATTCCAAAATTTAATATGAACATGACGTGTAAATCAGCCAGTATCTGGATCCCGGGTTCGTTACTGCGGGATTGGGGAAAGCTGCAACACTCATGAAGGCGGTCTGGGCTTGACCTTTCTGAGCCACAGGTACAAAAACCCCATGCCACGGGGCTGGAGAGATGGCTCAATGGTTAAGAGCACTAACTGCTCTTGTAGAGGACCCGGGTTCGAGTCCCAGCACCCACAAGGCGGCTACGACCTCCGCAGTACTGCACGACATGCGTGTACGCACATACATGCAGATAATACATTAAGTTTTTTTTTTTTAAATCCCATGCCAGGGTCTGTGTTGCCCTCTGGTGGGGATTCCTCAGTTGTGACATCTGCAGATGATTTCCCAGAAGTCATTCATTCTACAGCTGGTTACCCTGTAGGAGGCCTTATTTCATCATTCTTGAATACAAAATACATTAGTAAAATTGAGAATCAGATTACTTCATTTTAACCTTAAATTATGTTAATTTCTTGAATCAATTAGCTTATAAGATCAAACATGTCCAACAGACTGCAAATATGGGATCTTCTCCATTAATAGTCTTTTCTTTCCATGGGCAGAAAAGCATTTTAAAAAATCATCCTTTCTCTATTTCCCTCATATAATCTTCCCCACTAAAAAAGCAAAAATGTTAAAAGTTAAAAATGTTAACGTCATTGAGTTACTTATTTGCATCCTCATAGTATTGAAGCGTGAGATAGATACAGTAAGTGCATCCTCATAGTATTGAAGCGTGAGATAGATACAGTAAGTGCTCCACTCATCCCAAGCTGACTTTATACTCACTGTGTAGCCAAGGATGACCATGAACCTGGTCCTTCTGCCTCACCTGCCAAATGCTGATATTATAGGTATGCACCACCATGCTGGTTTATAGAGTGCTGGAGATCAAACCCAGTGCTTCCTGCATGCTAGGCAAGCACTCTGTCAACTGAGGTATGTCCCTAGCACATGTGTGGGAGTGCACACATACACACACTTTTTTTTTGTTTTGTCTCATGTAGCCCAGGCTGACCTTAAACTTGCTATGTAGATGAGCTCCTGATCCGCCTGCCTCAACCTCCTGAGTGCTAGGATTACAGGCGTGAAACGCCACACCAGGCTGGTACTTAAATTTCTGTATGTGCAGACTCCAATCCCAACAATAAGCATCTCTTTGCTGGGAGCCCCCTTCAGCCACATGTATGACAGGCTGGAGGTGTCAGGGAAATAAGGCAAGTTGAGAGCAACCCTAAGCCAATGATCGGGATATTGATACAACTGTGGGCTAAATTCTGTCCCCTCCCAAACTCTCATGTTGGAGTCCAAACCCCCAGTATCTCAGAATGAAACTTTAGAGATGGGGCCTTTAGAGAGGTGATCATGTTAATGAGACCCTAGAATGGATCTTGACCCAATTCAACTATTGTCCTTACAAAAATAATAACTTGCCGGGTGCAGTGGTGCAGGCCTTTAATCCCAGCATTCAGGAATTCAGGAGGCAGAGGCAGGCAGACAGGTGGATCTCTGTGAGTTCGAGGTCAGCCTGGTCTACCATAGCAAGTTCCAGGCCAGTTGGGACTACAGGGAGACCCTGTCTTAAAAATACAAAAACAAACAAACAAACAAACAAACAAACAAACAAACTTGACACAGACAGGCATAGAAGGAAAACACTTGGAAGAAACACAGCAAAAAAAAGACAACCATCTACAATTCAAGAGACAGCTCTACAGCAAACCCTTTCATGGCAGGCCTCAGACTGAACTTGATTTTGGACTTCTATCCTCCAGAACTGTGACAATACATTTCTGTTGGCAAAGTCACCCAATGTATACTATCTCAGAGTTCCAACTAACTAGTACAAACACACAGTATGTCATCCTTAGGGTAGACCAACTCAGGTCTGTTTTGTGGTGTTTTCCAAAGTCCTTCAGAGAATTTAAACTCAGTTTCCCACAGCAACAACTTACTCAATAGCATAGTTATACATTTTTTTATTGTGTGTATATACACATGGGCACACACATGCTTTGGTACACAGAGATCAGAGTTCAACTTTCAAGAGTCAGTTCTCTCCACCAGAGGCTCTGAGGATTGAACTCAGGTCCTCTGATTTTCTTGGCAAGCACCTTTACCCACTGAGCCATCTCTCCATCACTTAAAAGCACATTCTTCCTTTGCTTCTTTCTCACCCTGATCTCACTCACCATCCCACTACTGTATTAGGTGCTCACCTCCTAAATACCTACTTGATCTCAAATCCTTGTCTCAGAACCTCCATCTAGATGACTTCAAACTAAAGCAGTGACACCAGTAATAGTGCTTGTAAGTGGAGTGTCAGGATAATCTTATCCTGCTGTTGTTCCTACTCAAGCAGAAGACAAGGTTCTCACTGGAGGTGGAATGGTAGTGACATCTGAGGTCTCCCCTGCGGGCTCAGAGGGGAATTCAGGTCAAAAAGCTCATGCAACACCACTAGCATTTAAAAATACAGGGCAAGCTTAGTTCGAAGGATGATAGAGTCAGTTGGCTGCTGTCAGCTGCTGTTGTTGCACTAAGAAAACTCACAAGCTCAGGACACTGAGAGAATAGTGGAGAAGCCCAAGAGCTGCTAGGGCAGAATTTAAAGAGATGGAAAATGTGTGTGTGTGTGTGTGTGTGTGTGTGTGTGTGTGTGATAAAGGCATGTGTTTTGTTGTGTGGGGGGGGTTGTTTTGGTTTTTTGTTTTGTTTTTTGTTCTTTTGAGACAGTCTCCCCGTATCCCCAGCTGGCTTAGAACTCGCTATAGACCAGGCTGGCCTTGAACTCACAAAGATCTACCTGCCTCTGCCTCCCCAGTGCTGGGATTAAAGGTGGGTGCCACCATGCCCGTCTTCTTTCTCTATTTATATTTACTTTATACTTTTACAAAATGCATGCCTAGGCTGGATGTGGTGGACACGCCTTTACTCCCAGCACTTGGGAGACAGAGGCAGATGGATATCTGTGAGTTCAAGGCCAGCCTGGTCTACATAGGGAGTTCCAGGCCAGCTGGGACTATAGGGAGACCCTGTTTCAAAAAGACCAAAAAAAAAATGTAAAGACAATTACTTAAGGAAAAATTCTTTCCTTCAATTTTATGTTTTCCAGGTATCCAATCATTCTTCTAAAGCAAGTGTCCTATCTAGACAAGTAGAGTTACTTCTCAGCCAAGGTTGTGATAACCTGTTTGGTACCTTTTTTTTTAATACTTTTTTTTTTTTTTTGGTCTTTTTGAGACAGGGTCTCCCTGTAGCTCCAGCTGTCCTGGAACTCACTATGTAGACCAGGCTAGCCTTGAACTCACAGAGATCCGCCTACCTCTGCCTCCCAAGTGCTGGGATTAAAAGTGTGTACAACCACGCCCGACTTTTTTAATACTTTTTAAAAACATTTTATTTTTATTTTATGTGTATGTGTGTATTGCTTGCATGTAGGTAAGTGTATGTGTGTTGTGCAATGCCCACGGAGGACAGAAGAGGCTGTTGGATCCCCTGAAACTGGAGTTGCAGACAGTTATTAGCTGCCATGTAAGTGCTGGGAGTCGAACCCAGGTCTTCTGCAAGTCAGTGTTCTTAACTGCTGAGCCATCTCTCCAGCCCCCTGTTTGGTACCTTTGATATCTGGGAACTCAGTTACTATTACTGTCTACAAGTTAATCCTAAATAATAGCTCTGGGGATGCTGAAGAAAATCTTCAGGCCTGGAACAACCATCAATCTGGGCATGAGTCCACCTGCTAATATGTGATGCTGGCCCAAGGGACCCCCATTCTAGACTGAAGCTGTTTTGGAGACTCATGTTCATCTGTGATATCTCTGTCTTCCATACAATAAACTGTATTTGGGTTTCACTGTCTTCTCTTCAGCCCTGACTCTCAGTTTCTTAGAGTGTCTCGATAATAAAATGGACCAGGAATGAGTCAGGCAGGTTGTGACATGTTTAACATGAGTCCTTTTACCATCTTTCTCGACCTCAAATGGAAGCAGGGAGTGGGGAGGATGAATTAACAAGCATCTATGGAAAGAAATCATGTCACTTCTAAATTACTTTAGCCTTTTGTTTTGTTTTGTTTTGTCTTTTTGAGACAGGGTCTCCCTATGGCCCCAGATGTCTTGTAACTCGCTATGTAGACAAGGATGGCCTCAAACTCACAGAGATCCACCTGGCCTCTTAGAATTTGGGGTGAGAAGGCAACATGATAAAGTAGAAGTAAAATCTGACCTCACCAGATACATATAGCTTTATTAGCTATGAGGGGCAATCAACCTTCCCATGGTCATGGAGGTTGGGACATCAGGTTGGGGGAGGTCTATGATTTATAGGTGGACTCAAAAAAAGGGTCATGCTTTCCCAGAATCTCAGAAGGTGGGTGCCTTCCCAGAATCCCAAAGTCAGGGCATGCCTCTTGGGTGGTGTGTGCTCCTCCCCCGGGATCAGGAAAGGAGAGATGGGAAATTCTGATAGGGGATTTGATAGGGAATCAGATCTATAGAGGGTTGATAAGAAACAAGATGTCCTTTGGGAGGAGCCATGTATTCTTAAGATATCTCTCCCTTCTGGAGTGGGGGGCCGGGTGGACAGATGGTCAGTTCCTTCAGCCATGATAGGCTGATTTTCCTTCAACTCTACCTCCCAAGTGCTGGGATTAAAATCATGTGCTGCCAGGCATAGTGGTGCATGCCTTTAATCCCAGCACTTGGGAGGCAGAGGCAGGCGGATCTTTGAGAGTAGGAGGCCAGCCTAGTCTACATAGTGAGTTCCAGGACAGCTGAGGCTACAGGGAGACCCTGTCTCAAAAAGACAAAAAAAAAAGATAAAATAAAATAAAAGCATATGCCACCATGCCCAGCCTAGCTTTCTTTTTTATATTTTTAATTTTTTTATTTCTATTTTATGAGTGTTTTGCCTACATGTATTTTTGCACACCCATGCACGTAATGGCCATGGAGGCCAGAAGAGGGAGTCAGATCCCCCATAATTGGAGTTATGGATGGTTGTTAGCCAGCTGGGAACTGAACCTGGGTCCTCTGCAAGAGCAGCCAGTGCTCTTAACAACTGAGCCATCTCTCCAGCCCCTACTTTATCTTTTTTTAGATCCTGTGAATCCTAGGTTAGGTAGGCACATCAACAATACGTCATGCAAAGGAAACGGTGCACTGTGTGGTGTTGCACACCTGCAATCTCAGTACTCAGGAGGCAAAGGCAAGGGGATCTTGTGTTCAAGGTCAGTCTCAGTTACATAGCAAGAACTTGTTTTAAAAAAAGAAATAAAAAGAGAAAAAGAAAAGAAAGGAACTGAGAAAAAGGTGCATTCTGAACCAGACTAAGCAAATCCAGAAGGCACAAGTGTTAGGGTTCCAAATAGCAGCAGCTTCCCCCCTCCCCAACAGGGACCTACAGACTTTGGAGCCCGGAAAAGGGACAGCTGACATCATGACTCATTTCTCACTAGTCATATATCTGAACACCCGGCAAAACTTCCTAAATGTTGCTCATTTCACGTTCCTCACTAAATATTCTTTCATGGGCCCTTGTTAACTGAAGGAAAACGAAAAGCCAATTTGCTTTCTTGGTATCCATAACCCACCTGTTTTATCTCCAGACCACCCACTATTTCCTGCCATATGGCTTAGTTCCTTCTATCCTTTTTGTTTCCTTGTCTGTTTAACCTGGAACCCTGCTGTTTGTTCATGGCCAGCTCTCCCCAGATAGCTTATTTTTGATGCTCCAAGAAACAATCCTCTTCCCTCCTCTTCCCTTCCCTTCCCTTCCCTTCCCTTCCCTCCCCTCCCCTCCCCTTCCCTTCCCTGACATCTTTCCCTTTCCCGAGGGAAAGGTGCCCCGTGTGAAATAAATCTGTATCCCGCTGAGAATTCCATCTGTGCCTCGGTGCCTCATCCATCCGCTCTGTGCTCTCCACTGCACCGCTCTCTCCAACATTCCTATCTATCAACAAGTATGTTACCTTACTGGTAATGTAGGCACATCAATTACCTTCCTCTGGGGCACCTATGCCTCTCCTTCACCATATACTTGTGATCTCTTCAGTCCAGTTGGCAGAGAATAAAAACCTCAGGCCTGGTTCAAGAACAGTCCAGTCCTGTGTTCATTGTTATGTGGATGTGGACACTGCCACACAGCAGCCAGACTAAGGAGTGACACAGAAATGACACTAGGGAGGAGTATTCCCAATAGGCAGTGTATCAATCTATCTTGTCACCAACATACTACAAAGGGATATGGGGCCCAAGATGAATATATGCATGGACTGGTGGGATGGAAACAGAGAGGAAAGTTTGAAGACTGAAGACAGAAAGCTAGTGAAGAAGTCAGTGGGTAGACCTACGAAAATAGGCAACAAAATGTGAAACAGTTCTGGTCTCCTCCCAGTGCCCATAAGGGAATATCCACCACAGGAGAGGTACAGAATTGGATGTTAGGGTAACTCATCCAGCAGACTGAACTGCTCTCTGTCCTCGGTCACCCTAGTGCTTCCTTGGTAGGTCCATGAACAGAATGGTCATGGTTTAGGAAATGGGATTATGCAGAGACCCTCCACTGACCCAAACTAGTGATTACTGCTGATTATCTGACCAATGAGCCATGAAACTGAGGCTGAACCCAAAATCTGTTACCATCCCTCCAAGCAACCAACCAGTGAATTGAAATCACCAGGTATCTTCCACTCAGGAAAAGGTAGAGGCTCCTCCCTGATAGATTCCAAGAGGGTTTGCCCCTTTGGATACAATGCCTGGCCAGCACCACTATAAGGCTTATGGAGTATCTGATGTGTCATATGGAATTTCATATGACATTACTGTGCTGGATAGCTTTAGTTGACACAACTGGGGACAGGGACCCTCAAATGAAAATTGTTTTCATTGAATTGTCCTGTGGACATGTCTGTGGGACATTTTCTTGATTGTTGAGTGATGTGGAAGGGCCCAACCCACTGTAGATGGTGCCACCCTTGGGCAGGTGATCCTATGCTGTTTAAGAAAGCAGATTAAGCATAGGCCAAAATAGCAAGCCAGTAAACATTGTTTCTCCATGGTCTGTGCTCCAGGTTCCTGCCCTGAGTTCCTGCCTTGGTTTCCCTTGATGATGACTTGTGACTGGAAGATATAAAATGTAATAAACCCTTTCCTCCCCAAGTTGGTTTTGTTTGGTGTTTTTATCACAATAGAAAGTTAACCACAATTACCTTTGACCAGTGTTTCTCAAATTATTTAACTTTTAAAATATTTTTTTATTTTCATTTTATGTGCATGAGTGCATTGCCTGCATATGTGTAAGTGTACCCAGGCCGAGGTCAGATGAAGGCATTGGATTCCCCTGGAACTGGAGTTACAGACGGTTGTTAGCCACCATGTGGGTGTGGGATATCAAACTGGGGTCCTCTGCAAGGAACCGGGGTCCTCTGCAAGAATAGCCAGGGCTCTTAACTACGGATCCATCCCCTTTAACTTAAAAAAAGTACTCATTTTTATTTTATGTGTATGAGCATTTTACCTGCATATATGTTAGTGTACTATGTGTGTGCCTGTTGCCCACAGAGGCCAGAAGAAGGTATCAGATCCCCTGGAACTACAGTTAAGGACAGGTGTTAGCTACCATGTGGGTGCTGAGAACTGAACCTGGGACCTCAGAAGAGCAATAAGCTTAACCACTGAACTATTCCTCCAGCTCCCTCAAAATGTTTTTTTCATTGTCACTTTCTGTGCTGGTTAGTTTTGTCAACACAAACTAGAGTCGCCTGGAAAGAGGGCACTTCAATAAATGAATTACCTGTATCAGACTAGCCTGTAGGCATGTCCCTTGGGACATTTTCTTGATTGCTATTTGATGTAGGAGGGCCCAGCCCACTGTGGGCAGTACTATCTCCGGATAGATGGGTCTGGGCTGCATAAGAAAGATAGCTGGGGGCTGGAGAGATGGCTCAGCGGTTAAGAACACTGGTTGTTCTTGCAGAATACCTGGGTTCGAATCCCAGCATCCATATGGCAGCTAACAACTGTCTGTAACTCCAATCCCAGGGGATGTGACAGCCTCTTCTGACCTCCATGGGCACTGCGCAACACAGGTGCACTTACCTACATGCAGGCAATACATGCATACACATAAAATAAAAGTTTTAAAAAAGGGGGGCCCGGCGTGGTGGTGCACGCCTTTAATCCCAGCACTTGGGAGGCAGAGGCAGGTGGATCTCTGTGAGTTCAAGGCCAGCCCGGTCTACATAGTGAGTTCCAGGACAGCTGGGGCTACAGGGAGACCCTGTCTCAAAAAGACCAAAAAAAAAGGTAGCTAAGTGGGCCATAGGAAGCAAGTCAGTAAGCAGATTCTTTCATGGTCTCTGCTTCAGTTCCTACCTCCAAGTTTCTGCCTTGAGTTTCTATCCTGAATTCCCTTGGTGATGGGCTATGACCTGGGACTTGTAAACTAAAATAAACCCTACCCGAGCTGCTTTCAGCCAGTGTTTTACCACAGCAACAGAAAGCAAACTAGAACACTCCCCTAAGGAGTCTTTCAGGCACTTCCCTAATTGCCACTCCTATGAAATTTTAATATGACAGGCATACTATATCTCTGATTACATGCTGTGAATGTATATTTGCTTTAAACCTTAAAAAGAATACAATTTGGGGCTGGGGAGATGGCTCCATGGGTAAAGCACTTGCCATAAAGATACAAGGACCTGAGCTCAGATCCCAAGAGTCCACATAAAAGCCAGATGTGGTAGGGTACAGCAGTAATCCCAGTATTCCTACAGCAACACAGAGGGTAAGGACAGGAGAATCCCCCCAGCTAGCTTGTGGCTTGCACCACTCCCCACACACACACATGCACACACACGTACACACAAATGGGATACGAGTTATATAAAGCTCAGAAGAGATATATGTTTAACACAAAATTGCACATTAAATTCCAAATCATCAAGAACCTTTATTTTACTTCATACCAAGCAGAAAGAGCAATAAAATAATAAGCACATTTACATCAATTACACCAATCGATAGAAAATATAAATCTCTGAGGACTTGCCAACAATAAATAACATACTTAAAAATCTGAGTGCAAAAGACAGTTTTCTGAGCCTGTCCAGTTTGGGGAAGTCAATGGACCTCTGCAAACCTGAGTTTCTCAAAAGGATGTTCAACTGCTACATATTTCCTGTCATGACAAGAAATGGCCACATTCAGGAGCGTCCTAAACTGAAAGAAAGGAATCATCAATCTTTTCTTTCTTTCATTTGGGGGAAAAGGTTGAGATGGCGTCTTACTATGTGCCCAGACTGATCTTAAACTCAAGATCTTCCTGCCTCAACCTCCAAAATGCTGGAACTATAGGCAAGCACCACACATCTAGCTTTCAATCTTTTAATCAATTTGTCCATTGTCCTGGGAGAGCTACTGTGCAGAAGACACTTGCTTTTCATGGTGACACAGATATTTACACCATACCAAACAAATAACAGTGCTATTGTGATTTGTCATAACTAAAATGCACTATTTTCTCAGGTACTATTTCTCGGTCTCACAAAAAGTGCACAATCTCCCTGCCGTGTGTGGGTGACAAAGGAAAAGCCAAGTATTGTGAAACAGTAAGAACGCCTCTCAAATTACATATTCCAGAGCTCACAAGGGATTCCCTATAAGACCTGGGATTGGGGACTGGCTCCAAAACTCTGAATTCTCTTGGGGAATAGACAAAATACCATATTTCTTTGATCCTAGGATCTTTATTTTGACTTTACCATCTCAAATTCAAATGGTCTTGGCCATCTATGGACGACTCTGTGGAATTGGTTCTCTCCTTCCACCTTGACCTGAGTTTGAGTGATCACACGCAGGTCGTCAGGCTTGCACAAGCACCTTTGCTCCTTGAGCCATCCTGCCAGGCCTTCTTTGAACTTTAGCTAGGCACTGCAGCTCAAAAAGGGCTGAAGAGTGGTGCAGTCGGATGAGCTACACTCCAGGTCTGGTTCTGGCTCTAATTGGCCGGCAGAACTGGAAGGACATTGATTTCACACTGCTGGGCCTTGTTTCTCCATCTATAAAATAACCAAGTCCAACTGGCTGTTTCTAAGTCTTCCAGTCAAAGAAGGAATGTAACTGTAAATCTTGCGCCACTCAGAGTGGGAGTCACCGTTGAAACTCCACGGCCAGGTTTTCCACAGTCATGCGAGCATATTCTGCAGCTGATGGCTCAGACTCCTCCACAGCCAGCTCTACCTGCTCCATGGCCCACACTCAGGATCTACAGATGGCCTTGCTTCCCACTTTGGAAAGAAGACTTTAGTAACTGTCCAGAAATAATAATTCTTCTGTTGGGGGCAGTCTATAAACTTTGCAAAAACAAAACAAAACAAAAAATCCTGCAGAACTCTACTTGGCTAAGTTGAGCTAAATGTCTACTATATATTTAATATATCAAAAAATTACAACAAAGGTTCACATCAAAGTTTTGGTGATTGACAACATCCGGCTATAGATTCTGTTGCTCTGGGTGCCTCTTTTCTTGTCACAGAAGCACTAACTGGGAAAAGCTTTCTTTTCTGAAAGACAGTAACAAAGAGATTTCATTTGAATGACCTATTCACGTCACCACCAGTTCCTACCCTGAGTGGGTTCAACAAGAACGTATTTGTTCGGCCAAGGAAAACAATGGTGATGAATTCCAACTGATGAAAGACGGAAATGCTCTATGTGTAAAAATGATTCCCCTTTTTTAAAAATTTTTATTTATTTTTTTATTTTGTATGTATGTGTGTATTGCCTGCAGGTAGGTAAGTGCACCCATATTGCGCAATGCCTGAGGAGGTCAGAAGAGGCTGTTGGATCCCTTGGGACTGGAGTTACAGACAGTTGTTAGCTGCCATGTGGGTGCTGGGATTTGAACCTGGGTCTTCCGTAAGAACAACCAGTGTTCTTAACCACTGAGCCATCTCTCCAGCCCCAATGATACACATTTTTAATTCAAAAATTACAATATGTCTTTACTAAACATGTTAGAATTAAAAACAGGAATAGCAGCTAAAACCAACAACTGCAGAACAAATCACTAAATCCTAAATCCTCCTGTTTAAATTTCAATTCCAAAGGTATATTCAAACACTTTAAATATTGTAATAAGTTGTCTAACTAAATTAACCTAATCAAGCTCCCTTCCTTAAAATCCTCTGAAGTTCAGTCAATTATATATGTATATGTTGAGCCTCTATTCATTGTGCTGGTGTGGGCACTAAAATTATACATTTTGAGAGAGATGACTCAAGTAAATATGTAGCACCTTGCATTTACATGCCAGATGAAGGAAAACAGAGTTCTAAGTCAAACACTACTATTAACAGCATACAATACCAATAACATATATACTTTATCCTGGTAAAAGCAGGAAAGAAAGAGGTTAAAAAAATAAAAGAAACTCGAAGCTTCCAATGCCCTGTCCCATAGTGTTCATCTGCACCATGGTCTAGAAAGCATATTTACCTGATCAGTGATTTACTCGTTATGTCCAAGATGTGTTTTTAATTGGGGTTTTGCCCCTCACTCTGAGAAAGTAGGCTTATGAAAGAGAAATTATGACTGCTTGTAAAGACTACAATTTACTTGTAAGTCAGAAAGTTATACCTAGCTAGAGAATGGAATATTTTATTTCTTCCATTTCTCTCTTTTTTTTTTTTTTATCTTTTTGAGACAGGGTCTCCCTGTAGCCCCAGCTGTCCTGGAACTCACTATGTAGACCAGGTTGACCTTGAACTTGCCTGCCGCTGCCTCCCGAGTGCTGGGATTAAAGGCGTGCACCACCACGCCCGGCCATTTCTATTTCTTTATAACAAAGTTGCTTATATCTTTAAAATATTTATTAAGGGGATGGAGAGATGGCTCAGTGGTTAAGAGCATTGACTGCTCTTACAGAGGACCCAGGTTCAATTCCCAGCACCCACATGGTGGCTAACAACTGTCTGTAACTCCAATTCCAGGGGATGTGATGCCTTCTTCTGACCTCCTTGGGCACCGCATAACACAGGTGCACTTACATACATGCAGGCAATACTCATATCCTAAAAAATAATATTTAAAAAAAATAATTTTAAAAAGATATTTATTAAGCAACTTAAGGTCTTATTTTTAATATGAATTGATACTAGCTAATTATTTTTATTTAACTAAGACAATTTGACTCCTTGCCTGTACAACTAATGGGGTAAAAGTCACCAAATAGATGGTTTTGGGGGACTGAAGCAATGTTTGACACTAAACTCCCACCACTTTTCAGTGGTTAGAACACTAGAAATCACCAGGCAGCACTATTAAAACCTGCTTCGTTTCACAACTGACAGGAAATGTCACCAATACCAAATCAGGAAGTGTAGGAGTGAAGTTATTCCAGTTCTATCGTGACTTCCTGAATCCCATCCATCTACTTCCTGTCACTCCAGAAGCACACAAGACCAGAATGCAAATGAACCAACTCTTCAAAACAGTTTTTCTTATCTTTTTTAAAAAATATTTTATCATTTTTATTTTTTGTGTATGAGTGTATTGCCTACATGTGTGTAAGTGCACCCTCATCTTGCAATGCCCATGGAGGTCAGAAGAGAACGTTGAATTCCCTGGAACTGGAGTTACAGACGGATGTTAGCTGTCATGTGGGTGCTGGGAATCGAACTCAGGTCCTCTGCAAAGTGCTCTTAACTGCTGAGCCATCTCTCCAGCCCCCCAAACAATTTTTCATCAAAGAAGTAATACTGTCTCATTATAGACAAATTAGAAAATAGGACAAACAAAATATGAAAAAACTAGGAAATTATCCTTTCTTTTTCTTTGCCAATATGATACCTATACAACTGTATCTCGGAATATGCCTGCTTAGGTTAAGCTTCATTTAGTATTGATTTTGGCTTCTGAGGCAATCTTCACATTTGTGAAGATCAGTTTTAACTTGGAGCACAGTCCAAGTGCCTGAGTGCCAAAGAAAACCAACTGCCATGTGGTCACCTTTGCAGTGGAGGTTGGGTAGCAGTGTTGAGTTCTCCTCCAAAAATCCTTGTGATCTGCTAGTTCAGAGAAGTAACAACCTATAACCAGGTGCAGGATGACTGCTATCATCCCCTGGTATGTTTGGTGAATGTGGTACCATTTCATTGATTTTTTTCCTGACTTCTTCCCCTTTCAAAGGAATGAGAAGTACATGAAAGACTAAATGACTTAAACTATGAGAATCATGTGTGTTTTGCTTATGAGGATACTGAAATACAGGTGTGTAAAGACTACACAAAGTATTGTAAAATAATGAATAATGAAGGGAAAATGCCCAAATTCAAACAAGTTTCCAGTCAGCTTCTAGTTACTGGGTCCAGAGACCAGCCTAAAGGGATACAACACCCATCCGGATGCAGGTCTGTTGCAAGACCCAGCTTCCTGGTGGTGGTGTCATAAAGAAGCTTCAAAAATTTCAGAAATACAATCACTGGCTCAAGCATAACTCAATTACAGGAAGATTAAAGACTCTTACCATTTACCCTTGATGTTACTGATAGATCAAACTGTAGTCATCAACCAATGAATAATCAGGGTCATCTGTAAAGGAAAAAACACAGGACAAAATTAAGTTACTCCTTTTCATGATAAGACTTTAGCCCTTTCCAAGCATTCCACTTCAAGATTCAGATGACTACCTTTTTGTAACAACAGCTTACAAAATATAGACACCAAAGCCCGTAATTGGCAGTCATGACTACACACCAGAGAATATTCTGGAAATCACTATTATGACTTCTTTGCCCTTTTTTCATGCCCAGATTAGCCTCCATAGTACAGTCATCATCAAAAAGGAGCAAAAGTAATTACCAATTAAGGCAACAAGAAATAAGTCATTTTATTCAAACAATTTCAACCACTGATTTTTTTTTACATTTATTTATTTGTGTATGTGTGTGTGCAAGTGCTCAGCACACATGTAGAGGTCAAAGGGCAACTTGTGGGAGTCAGTTCTCTCCTTCCACCATTTGTGGTCTGGGCACTGAACTCAGGTCATCAGCCCTGGTAGCAAGCACCTTTACCCACTGAGCCATCTTGCCAGCCCTATCAGTTATTATGTTTTTTCTTTGGTCTTTTTGAGACAGGGTCTCCCTGTAGCTCCAGCTGTCCTAGAACTCACTATGTAGACCAGGCTGGCCTTGAACTCACAGAGATCTGCCTGCCTCTGCCTCCCAAGTGCTGGGATTAAAGATATGTGCCACTATGCCTAGGTGTCCTCTTAAGTCCCTTGAATGTAGAGAGTTAACTTTTTCTTTTTTTCTGAAATAGTGAATTTTTTAAGTAGCTGCTATGTGCCTAGTACTATGTTAGAGGCTGGGAGTGATACAAGAAAAGACAAAAATGCTTATCCTTAAAGAATATAACTAACAACAACAAAAAAAAAAACAACAACAACAAAAAAAAACATTGGTATATGTGGTTCTTCTGAGGCACTATAGGAGTTCAGAGCAAAAGAGCCCAGTGTAATCACAAAGGATTCCTTAATGGGCAGTGTGCCAAATTATAATATTAAATTACATGCTCCAGGATATCTGTAAATTCTATAAATGGTATGTCTGTGAAACCCAAAGGGAACCCGTATCTTATTTCTGCTGTTATCATGGTCTAAATCAAATAATTTCTTTGATAAAACTGTGATATAATTTTCTTTTGTTATTTTAGTAGCTGAATTTTCTTGGATAAGCTGAAAGATAGATCACCAATTATGAAATTTTACTCTTTGAGAAAGTTTTACAGTAAGGTTCAAATACAGGTGTATACTCTTGGGAGTTTGATCCTATTAGGCAAGTCCAACCTGTGACTCATGGGTCACATGCACCCAGGATAGCAATGAATGTGACTGTTCACAAACTCAAAGCTTACTTAAATAGTGGGACTTTTTTGGCAATTATTTTAAATAGACTGCACGGTTCTCAAGCACAAACTCTAGATGACAGTGTCATGTTGCAATGTGAAAAATCAGACATGCCTAGATCTTATTTTGGGGTGGTGGTTTGTTTGGTTTTTTGTTTTGTTTTGTTTTCTTTTTGAGACAGGGCCTCCCCGTAGCCCCAGCTGACCTGAAACTACTCATGTGTGGACCATGCTGGCCTCAGTCTCACAGAGATCCACCTGCCTCTCCCTCTCAAGTGCTTGGATTAAAGGCATCTGCCACCATGCCCAAACTGATTCTTAAGTTTGACAAAAATAATACAAATACAACATTCATGTATGAAATTCTCAAAATTAATTTTTTTTGTCTTTTTGAGATAGGGTCTCCTTGTAGTCCCAGCTGTCCTGGAACTCACTATGTAGACCGGGCTGGCCTCGAATTTTATTAATTTATTTTTATTTTATGTGCATGAGTGTTTTGCCTGCATGTGCAAAGTGCATCTATCTGGTGCAATTCATGAGGAGGTCAGAAGAAGGCATCAGATCCCCTGGAACTGAAGTTACAGACCGTTGTCAACCATCATGTGGGTGCTGGGGACCAAATGCAGGTCCTCTGCAGACAGTGCTCTTAACCACTGAGCTATTTCTCCAGGTTCCTGATTCTTATTTCTGTATTATAGCTATTTTATCTTAAAGTAAACCTTACCTAAAATTTTCAAAAGGTTTTTCTTGATGACATACCTGGTACACTTTTAGGAATCGGAAGAGGTCCTCTCCTGTAAAAAATAAAAAACCAAAGTACTTCAGATAATTTCTTGTCATTGTTTTTTACATTTTTCTGCTGTGTGCTACAAGCATATTACACTAAATCATCTCCAACTTCTGTGCTACAGAGCCAAGAAGACTGAGATGAAGCAAATGATTTGCAGCCCTGACCTGCTGACACACAAGGTACAGGCATCTTTGACACATGGTAGTCAGGAGCACAGAGCCCTGTCCATAGCCCAGAGAGCAGGACTTTAATCTCAACTGTGTGAACAAAATTTGCTGATCTCTTGGAGCATCAGAATCTTCCTACATAGAATGAGAAACAGCTTCCACCTCTCTGTGAGGATTAAGTCAGTTAATTCATATTAACTTAATATTGATGGTATGCATGAGATCTCTCTCAATACTTTCCACCTTCCCTAAAACTAATAAATGGAAAACTCAGCAAACTCCAGCTGATTTTATGTGAAAAGAAGTTTCTCTCCCACCAAGTTCCTTTATGCTAGGAGCAGCACAATTTTCCTACAGTGGGCCCAGTAGAAATGCTTTAGCTTAGCTGGCCATATATCTGCTGTACCTCAACTCAGGTCTAGTGGGAAAAGAACCAGATATAAAATATAATCCATGAATGAATACGTGCCAATAAAGCTTTCTATATGCACTGAAATTTGAATTTCATATAATTTTCATATTATAAAAGAGTATCCTTCTGAAGTTTCTAGTCATTAAAAATGTAAATTAGGTATAGTGGTGGTTCATGCCTATAATCCCAGCACATGGGGCCCGAGGCAGAAGGATCACCATGAGTTCAGGCCAGCCTGGGCTACAGAGTGGGTTAACAGGCCATTTGAGCTACAAAGTGAGAACACAAACACACACACACACACACACACACACACACACACACACACACACATACACAGTAGAAATTGTTCTTAACTCAAAAGGCCTACAAACACAGGTAGATCAGATCTGACTTATAAGGGGCCACAGTTTGATAGTTTGCTGGTTCTTGTTTTCTACAAGTTATTGAAAGGCACAGTAATCATAAACAAGTAATAATGATCTCATTCAAGTATGATGTAGTTCTCCTTAAACTATAATTAATAAGTTATTTAATATTTGTCCTAAAAGTCTATTTCCAAAAAGCTAGTTTCCTCATTAAGCAAAATATACAAATTTTATTTGTCAATTAAAAATAAACTTTCTCAAAAGTAATGTCTTAGAACATTAATAACATAAACATTTATTAAGATATTTTTCTTCACACAAAAGGCAGTAGGTTATTACCTTGTTACATTAGGCCCTGTAGCTTTTCCTGGTGGGGCTGCATTCCGCTGGGGACAGTAGAAATTCTCATACATGATGGGGGCTAGAGGAGTTGTTAAGAAACAAGACATTAAGAAACAGGTAAAGGGTCTGGAGAGATGGCTCAGTGGTTAAGAATACTGACTGTTCTTGCAGAAGACCCGGGTTCGAATCCCAGCACCCACATGGCAGCTAACAACTGTCCGTAACTCCAGTTCCAGGGGATCTGACAGCCTCTTCTGTCCTCCCAGGGCATTGCATGACATGGGTGCGCTTACTTACATGCAGGCAATACATGCATACACATAAAACAAAAATAATAAAATATTTTTTAAAAAAGAAACAGGTGAAGGCTGGGGCTGTCAATCAGTTGGTAGAGCACTTGCCAAGCACATACAAAGCCTTGGGTTTAGTCCTCAGTACTACATAAGATCAGGCATGGTTATACATGCCTGTAACCTCAGTACTCAGGAGGTAGAGATAAAAGGAGTTTCAAGGTCATCTTCAGCTATACAACAAGTTCAAGGCCAGCCTGGGATACATGAGACCTTGCCTCAAAACAAACAAAAAGAGGCTGGAGAGGCATTCAATGGTTAAGAGCACTGGCTGCTCTTAGAGATGACCTGGATTTGGTTCCCAGCACCCACACGGTAGCTAAAACTGTCCCTAACCCTAATTCCAGGGGAAATCTGACACCCTCTTCTGGCCTCCGTGGGCATTACGTGATGCAGGTACACTTACATACATGCAGGCAAAACACTCATACACATAAATAAATAAAAAGAAATTTTAAAAAAGAAACAAATGCTAGAGTGGAACCTGCAATGTTCCCCCCACAAGCCCACGTATTAAGAAGCTTTGTCCACAGCTTAACACCCTTGGGAGATGATGAGCCCCTGGGTCTTTGGGGGTATGCCCTTGAAGGGGACTGTAGGACCCTGGTCTATTCCTCTTTTACATCCTGGCCATAAGATGATTGGTCTGTTTAGCCATTCTCTAGTCCCACAGACCTTGTCTTATATTCTCTATGTCATCTGACAAGAAAGACTAATACAGTTGCTTAACCAGCCCTCCCCAGCCTGCCACCCCATTCACCTGGTGGAGTCTGTCCAGTTTTACGCTGGTTCACGAAATACTGGATGTCCTTCTCAATGCTGCACATTTCTAAACTCTTACGGACTTGCTCATACATCTAATAAAAAGAAGATAGGTCATCATGTAAAGGCATATTGGTGATAATTATGGCATGGCTCTATACCAAAGAAACTTTACTGAACAGGTAGCTCTTTGAAAATTTTGTTTCTGAAAGTAGAAGATATTCCCAAGTCTCAGACTCATGCAAGGACGTTTCTATGATGCATTTATGCTATTAACTTAAAAAAATAAACAGGCAAGGAAATGAATCTTTGTGGTCAGACCAAAATGTTAACTAATTTTTTTAGTACTGATGGAACCAAGAAACTATATACCAAGTCCCATGACCAAGTGCCAATGCCACACACAAATGTAAAGACAGCCAGGTGTGGTTACATACGCCTTTAATATCACCACTCAGGAGGCAGAGGTAGGCAGATCTCTGTAAGATCAAGACCAGCCTGATCTATATAGTAAGTTCCAGGCTGACTGGGGCTATGGGAGAGTCTGTCTTAAAAAAAAAAGTAAACGCCAGTTGTGGTGGCCTGTAGTCAGCCAAGTGTAGTGACACATGCCTTTAATCTCACCACTCACGAGGCAGAGGCAGGCAGATCTCTGTGAGTTCAAGGCCAGCCTGGTCTACATAGGGAGTTCCAGGCCAGCTGGGGCTCCAGGGAGACCCTGTCTCAAAAAGACCAAAAAAAAAAAAAAAGTAAAGACAATTACTTAAGAAAAAATTCTTTCCTTTAGTTTTATGTTTTCCAGGTATCCAATCATTCTTCTAAAGCAAGTGTCCCATCTAGACAAGTGGAGTTATTTCTTATACAAGGTTGTGATAACCTGTTTGGTGCCTTTGATATCTGGGAACTCAGTTACTATTGCTGTTCACAAGTTAATCCTGAATAATAGCCCTGGGGATGCTGAAGCAAATCTTCAGGCCTGGAACAACCATCAACCTGGGCAAGGTCTTTCTGCTAATATGTGATGCTGGTCTAAGGGACCCCCATTCTAGACGGAAGCTGTTGTGGAGACTCTCATTCATCTGTAATATCTCTGTCTTCCATACAATAAACTGTATTTGGGTTTATCTTCTCTTCAGCCCTGACTTTCAGTTTCTTAATTAGAGAGTCATGATAATAAAATGGACCAGGAGTGAGTCAGGCAGCTTGTTACATGTTTAACATGAGTCCTTTTACCATCTTTCTGGACCTCAAATGGAAGCAGAGAGTGGGGAGGATGAATTAACAAGCATCTATGGTTCTTTCCACTCTAATGAATCCAATGAGCAGAGCAGAGTACAATCCTCCTTGGATGTTTCTAACTTACTTCATCATTTGTGACACATTGCTGTGACAGCTGATTCACATGTAACCACAGTGCATTCCGGAAGAAGTTTATTCGTTCACATTCTTGAGCCTCAAACACCTAGAGAAAAACAGCTGCATGTACATACAGATGTAAAGAAAGGGGGCATTCCCTTAGCCTGTCTACGACTTAAACAATTCTCTGTAAGCTTTTATCTATATTACCTCAGTTATCTATAAGCTTTTTCTTCAATGTATTGCACTTGACCACCAGATAGGAAGCTCACAAACTCTTACCACAATCAAAGAATGCAAAAGGAGTCTAATTTCATACTAACATAAACAGGATTGGAGGAGTAAGTTCTCAAGGAAAGAAATTGATGATGATTCCAGACGCCAATGCTCTAATGAGCCTCAGCTGGCATTTCCAAACACCAACTAGGCCTGTTCACCTGGATACCTGCCAAGTTCCAGATCCCAAATTGCCCTTCCCAGTAGGGGAAGGAAGACTGACTGGCAAAAGATTTTAAATGTTGAAGCTGGTTAATGAGGACATGTGGGGGGGGGGGGTCCTTCCACTTGTCTTCTGTCTTTTTGTGTGCATGTTTTTTATTTATTATTTTTATTTTTAATGTGTATGGAGTATCTTGCCTGCATGTAGGTAGGTACACTGTGTCATGCAATGCCTACAGAGATCAGATGAGGGTGTTGGATTCCCCTGGAACTATAGTTACAGACAGTTGTTGGCTACCATGTGGGTGCTGGAAATGGAACCTGGGTCCTCTGCAAGAGCAGCCAGTGCTCTTAACCACTGAGCCATCTCTCCAGCCCCATGTGCATGTTTTAAGGTTTCCTTAATTTTAAAAGAAAGTTAAAATAAAAGTCACTGCCTTGCCAAGTGTAGTGGCACACACTTTTAATCTCAGCACTTGGGAGGCAAAGGCAGGCAGATCTCTGTGATTTGGAGGCCAGCCTGGTCTACACAGTGAGTTCTAGGCCAGTCAAGGATACATAGTGAGACCCTGTCTCAAAAAACAAAAATCACTACCTGAAAAAAGGTTTTTTGAACATAAGCAAATAACAACGTTTGAAAAAAAATAACACCCATGCTCCCTGGGGATATGGCCCAGTTGGTAGGGTGCGTCCCTAGCATGCAGGAAGCCCTGGTTCAATCCCCAGCACCACATAAATGTGGCATGATGCCCTGTCATCTGAGCACTTGGGAGGTAGAAGGAGGAAGAACAAAAGTTGAAGGTCATGTTTAGGTCTATAGCAAGTTCTAGGTCAGCTTGGGTTGCACTGGACCTTGTCTCTCAAAAGAGAACAGAAAAGAGAAAAGGACGGAGTAGGGAAAAGAAGAGGAGGGGAAGAGAGAAGATATCCCTACCAACTGCCCTTCTCCCTGGGAATTTTGAAACAAATGCAACTTCACCTGTAAAAATATCAAAAATCAAAATATGGGCTATTTTCATTAACAATATTTCCCCATTGAAAAGAGACTAGTCATACATCAATTATCTGCCTTTATCAAAAAATTTTAGTCATATCTGTATCAAACTTTGTTAAAATCACTGTGTGACTTCTTCAATCTCTTTCCCCTCCTTCCAGAGATAGGCTCAATATTAGCATTCCCTGGCAATAAAATGTATATCCATAAAATGCACTGCCATTGCTCTGTGTCTTTTCTTGCTCCTCCTCCTCCTCCTCCACCCCCTCCTCTTCCTCTTCCTCTTCTTCTTCCTCTTCCTCTGACTCTTCTTCTTTTATGGTCTTTTTGAGACAGGGTCTCCCTATTGCCCCAGCTGTCCTGAAATTCACTATGTTGACCAGGCTGGCCTTGAACTCACAGAAATCCACCTGTCTCTGCCTCCCAAGTGCTGGGATTAAAAGCATGCACCACCATGCCAGGCCACATGCTCTGCATCTTTTAAAATCTAATAAAAATGGCTACATTGAGAGTGTGGGTTAGAGAGGGAAGCATAAAAAAGTGCTTTAGTGGGGGTAGAAAATTCCATGATATCAAAATGTAGATAGAGATAAATCAAATAAAGATTAGAAACCACTGAGGTCAGGTTGGGGCATCTCAGAGGTATATTGATTGCTTAGCATGCATAAGGCTCTAGGTTTGATCAGCAGCACCACAAAGAGAGAAAGAAAAGAAACCATAAAGGCCCACTGGACCTCATACCAAGGGCATCTCTGGCATCCTTGGGAGAGGAAAACGCAGGTGCAGGAAAGCAACCATTAGGCTGGAACAGGGTGCAACAGCAGGGACTTGGAAACACTTCCCCAAAACATGGTTGGGACTGGGAGTGTAGCACATGCAAGAGCTTGTAAAAGCATGAGGTTAAGGCTGGAGAGATGGTTCAGGGGTTAAGAGCACCGACTACTCTTGCAGAGGACCCAGGTTCGATTCTCAGCACCAACATGGCAGCTAACAACCATCTGTAACTCCAATTCCAGGAGACTCAACACCCTCTTCTGACCTCCGTGGGCATTGCAGGACACAGGTGCACTTATATACATGTGAGCAATACACTCATACACATAAAATAAAAAGCATGAAGTCCTAGCATGATCCCCAGTGTGCATGCACAGACAGAGAGAGAGAGACAGAGACAGAGACAGAGAGACAGAGAGAGAGACAGAAAGACAGAGAGAGAGAGGGGGGAGACTATAACAGATGGAAAGCAAAAACCAATAGGTTTCATTTTGTTTTGAATCAGGGTCTTGCTATGAAGTTCAGGCTGGTTTAGAACTCACCATCTTCCTGTCTCTGCATCTTGATTGCTACAAACACACCACATCTGGTGAGGTGGTAGCTAGGAATGAGCTGAGTCTGTATACAATACAACAGCAGTCACATTTAAAGGGGGTGGGGAAAGGCCAGCTGGATGGTATAGGCTCTTGACAAGGCAAGGAGCAGCGCCTTCCCTACTCTGAGGAGGAGGCTGTGAATCAATGGTTCTAATTCTGCTTTGTTAATTGTAGTTAACAGAGATTGCTGGACGCTACTGGGAGTTTCTGATGCCACAGGCCTGGGATTGCGCTGAGAATCCTCATCTCTAACAAGTTCTCAGGTAATGCTGATTCTGTTGGTCCTGGGACTTCATCTGGAGAGTCACTGCTAAGAAATGCTATCAGAAAGTTTAGGGACTTTCCAGATTGTCTTTTAAGTTTTCTTTTGGAAACTGTAGGGTCATAAACATTTCTCTTAGGACCTAACAAGTACAGGCAAAGCTCTCACGGTAATTACAGTGCTCAATCCACCATTAACTGATTCAGCTATGTGATGCCTGACTTAACCAAACATTAGACTAAAGCTCTGAGCTGCGGTGGACAGTGTGTGGTCAGGATGTGGAAGAGGCAGAAAGATCAGTAACTTGGAGGAAGCTATTCCAATTTCTTCCATTCTTCACTTAAATTCTGGATTCCTAACCTGCCCTCACACTCATTAACTGAATGAGACATGAGGTGCTAAAGAAAGAGAAGAGGGGTTGTTTCTGTAGAAGTATATGTTCAGGTTCTAGGAGGAAGATGCACCCCATCCAGACAGCCTCCAGTACCTCACAGGCCTTGATGTGTTCACTCTGCCATTCTTCCCGGACCTTCTCCAGCATGTTAACATGTAGCATGTATGCTTTGTCTGCAATGGGGGAAGAGGGAGGGTAAGACTTAGAAACCAGACAGGCTGTTAGAGTTGTAGTAAGCTCACAAAGCCCCAAGGAATTTTGAATATTAGAAGGCCATAATTATCTCCCTTCTTCCTTTCTGATACCTGTTAATCCTACTGTGTAACTACTCTTCTCTGAGACATATTCAGGATAATGGGATCTCCCCAACAACCCTTCCCATCTCAGAGAAGCCCTCTCACCTGAGTCCTCTACTGCAGTCTTTGAAGTTGCCAGTTTCACAAAAAGCTGTAATACCAAAAAGTTCAAGAGATTAGTAAAGCTGATCTAGGCTTCCAATGAGCCAAACAGATGTAAAAAGCAGTGGCAATGAAAAGATAAGGTATAGTTCAAGTTCTCTCTTCCTTTCCCTTATGAGCAAACCTTTCAGCTTCAATCCTCTCATCATTAGAAAGCAGGCACAGAGCATCTTGTCCTATGTCTTCCAAGGATATAGCCCCTGCCCTCTAGTTGTGGATAATATTATATTTAGATTATATAGCACTAAGCGTGTACTTCCCACCCTTATCAAGAAACAGTCAAGCAATATGAGCTGTGTTTTGAAGATAGTGTTTAAAAGCCTTTTATTCCACCCTGGACCCCTAATAGCATGCTTCTCTAGTGCTTTCTCCGATCTCAAAAATTTAACAAGGGGGTCTTCTGGTTCAAAAGACCTTAATACCCTGAAGGAAGATATTGCCAGGGGCTTAGGATACAAATCTTTTGGGGGGGGGGGATCTTTTTGAGACAGAGTCTCCCTGTAGCCTCAGCTGGCCTGGAATTCACTATATAGACCAGGCTGGCCTCACCCTCACAGAGATCCACCTGCCTCCACCTCCCAAGTACTGGGATTAAAGGCATGCACCCCCATATCTGGCCAAATTCTTTTTTTTTTAATTTAAGATTTTTTTGTGTGCATTATATCAAAATTTTAAAAAATATTTTATTATTTTTTTAACAGAGCATAGGGCATGGGGTTTATTTACAGAAGAGTGGGCGCCCCACATTTACAGCTGCATTGTAAAGTCCACACTCAAATACAGATCTTAGGACCTTCCGACAGCTGCACAAAATGATGAGAGGTATCTCTTGGTGTTCTGGCTTATATATCCTTTGCCCCTCCTTAATTTAAGATTTTTAGTTATATTTATGTTTATTTTATTTTTGTTTCTTGAGGCACGGTTTCACAACATAGCCCAAGATGACCCTGACCTCTTGATCTTCCTGCCTCAATCTCCCGAGTACTGGAATCACATGCATGTACCATCATGCCTGAGCCTGAGTTGCCTTTAAACTAACATTAAGTAAATCTCCAACTCTTCAGGTTGTGGCCCTCCTAGGTACCTTATCTTGTTGCTTTGGGTTGACCACATTGGCGCTCCGGTGGACAGCCTGCTCCGCCTCATCTTTGTCTCGGCACTTCTGCTCATAGGTCTTCTTGGCCTTTATTATAGACAGTGGATAGCGACAAGTAAGAAAGCTGTGTGACCCTGAAAACTGTCTACCCTAGCCCACCAGGCCAAGTACAGACTCTGGTTGGTGCTAGGATCACCAGACATTAGGCTGTCAGAAGGGGGCATGCATTTTGCTAATTCTGAAAAGTCACCCTGGCTCTAGCTCTCTTCCAAGTTATTCATGGCAACTCAAAGGAATTAATAACTGCCATTTGGTAAGACAAGGTACATGAGCTTTCTATGGATCAAAATACGAAATGGAATTTGAAACAGATAAAATCAAAATATGTATATAACTCATTTTTCTTTATTCTTAAGAATTTCTTATATGTATACAATGAAATATGATCATATCCATCTCCATGTTTGTAACTCTTAAGATGTGTAATTCAATACATGTAACATTCACATTCCTTAGAACTATGTGAAGTCACTGGGTCACTGGCATTAACTAATTCTCACTCTAAACAGCCTCACTATTACAGTGGGCGGGGCCTTAACCATGCACAGTGGGAAGGGCACCGACACCCTAATTTCTTTCACTTGAGCACAGTTTTGTTCCTTTTCAATTTAAAGAATTCTGAACTGCATAGTTTTATAGTGAGAAACAGTCTATCTTGTGCCAGGATTGCTACCAGGATTATGGAATTGTTTCACAAACTAGAATCATTAATGAATCAAGAAAATAATTTTGTTTCAGCTCTAGAAACAAAGCTTTATAAACAAAACAAAACAAAACAAAGCTACAAATCAATTACCTAATAAACAAATATGACAAAGAAAAACACTTGACTAAGACTAAAGATACCCCCTTTTAAGTCTTTTCTTGGTTGATTTCTCTGAGGTTGCCAGTGAGCCAGAGATTAAATGTTGGAGGCAGAGGGCACACGTTCAAATCCTAGCCTCACCAATGTCTACGTGTTTTTGAATAAATTATTTAGCTTCTCTGTGCCTCTGTGTCTCTATCTATAAAATAAGAAATCTACATTTTTCTACAAATACATATGAAAACAAAAGCAGATATATAAACTGTACTTTTATAACTATTACACATTTACACGTGGAATTGAACCCACAAAACTAATAAAATTCAACTAGTGATGATTTACGATGGACAAGGCTTCTTTGGAGAGTTGGTTTGCACTCATTAAGCACTTCACATGGTGGTGCATGTCTTTAATTCTAGCACTTGGGAGACAGGCAGGCAGATCTCTGTGAGTTCAAGGCCATCCTGGTCTACATAGCAAGTTCCAGGCCTACCAGGGCTGCATAGCAAGACCCTGTCTCACACACAAACAACACACCCTAACCAGGTGACATTCCTGTAATGTCTGTAACTTCAACACTCAGAAGATGGAGGCAGGAGGTTCGAAGCTCAAGTCCATACTCGATATAAAGCAAGTTTGAGGTTTGAAGCTACC